GATATATGACGCTCCATTTATGTGCAGCATAGTAACGGAAATTTACACTAATTTTTTTTAGCTGTGTAGTTGAATGTCCATGGCGAAATCCAAACTGCTCATCTGCCCAAAATTGAGTTCGTATTGATGTGAAGCATCATTCTATTTAAAAGTTTACTTATTGAAGAAAGCAAACTTATTGGGCGGTAGCTAGGAGCTTCAGCTGGATTTTTATCCGGCTTCAAAATTGGAACAACTTTTGCATTTTTCCATTTATCAGGAAAGTATACCAAATGGAAACATCTGTTAAATAATTTTACCAAGAAAGTCAAGGTACTCTCTGGGAGTTTATTGATGAGGAAATAGAAAATTCCATCATCACCTGGAGCTTTCATATTTTGAAACATTTTAGTTATAGACCTTACTTCGTCCAAATCAGTCCCCCAGGAATCATCAAAAATATTTTCCGGAGAGAAAATATTCAGAAAATCCCGAGCAACCTGATTCTCAATAGGACTAGTAAGACCCAAACTGAAATTATGGGAACTCTCGAATTGCATAGCAAGTTTCTGAGCTTTTTCCAAATTTGTGATCAAAATTTTACCACCTTCTTTAAGCGCTGGAATAGGCTTTTGGGATTTTTTCAAAAATTTTGTGAGTTTCCAAAAGGGTTCGGAACTTGGGTCTAGTTTAGAAATATTATTTTCAAAAGTTTTGTTCCTCAGGACAGAGAATCGCTTTTTAACTTTCATGGCAGGATCGCGTGTTCTTTGAAATTGTCTCCTACGGACATTTTTAAGACGGATCAAGAGCTGAAGATCGTCGTCTATTATAATTGAATCGAATTTAACCTCGCATTTTGGTACTGAGGCAGCTCTTGCTTCAACTATAGAAGTAGTCAGAGATTCAAGAGCATAATTAATTTCATCTTTGGTATGCAAAGGAATTTTTGGATCGAAGTTATATTCCATAAATGTTCGATATTGATCCCAATCAGCTCTATGGTAATTGAAAGTAGAGCTGTTGGGATTAGAAATTGTTTCTTGGGATATCTCAAAAGTTACTGGTGATCAGAACCGAAGTCAGCATTGGTAACCAATTGCCTACAAAGTCGACATGAATCAGTTAAGACCAAATCAATAGTGGAGGGATTTCTTGCAGAAGAAAAGCATGTTGGGCTGTTTGGATATTGAAAAGTGTAATAGCCTGCAGAACAATCATCAAACAGAATATTACCATTGGAATTGCTTTGAGCATTATTCCATGAGCGGTTTTTTTTGCATTAAAATCACCAATAATGAAGAATTTAGACCTATGACGGGTAAGTTTCTGAAGGTCACCCTTGAGAAAATTCTTTTGCTGGCCAACGCATTGGAATGGCAAATAGGCAGCTATAAACGTAAGTTGCCCAAATTTTGTTTCAACAGAAACTCCCAAATTTCAAAAACTTTGGTTTCAAAAGAAGGAAGAATTTTATGTTTGATTCGTCTATGAACAATGATGGCAACGCCACCACAGGGTCCATCAAGACGATCATTTCTATAAATGAAATAATTTGCGTCCTTCTTAACCTTAAGGTCAGGTTTAAGGAACGTTTCAGTTATAACGGCAATATGCACGTTATGAACTCTCAAAAAGTTAAATAGCTCGTCTTCATTATCTTTAAGAGATTGAGCATTCCAATTTAAAATATTTAATGCTTTAAAATCCATTACTGAAATTCAAAGTCATGACGATATTGTTCGCAAATTTTACTCCAGTTTGAATAGCATCAAACATGGAGTTAGTTTTTAGCATATCAGTACTCATGTCAATTAATGATTTCTGTAAAAATTCCATTTTAGGGGCAGTAATGCTTCCTAAGTCAAAATTGTCAAAATTTCCGTTAGAATTACGTTGGTTAGTATTTTGATTTCTACCCGGTGCAATAGCAGCAAAGGCAGCTCCATTAACTCGCTGAACATTGTTAGCAGCGAGGGGAGTAGGTATAGATGAAGAATTGGAAGCAGGGGTGATATTTGTACCTACGGGTACGAATGTAGAATTTGTTCCTCGCTGACTGTTGTTAACAGCAGAGTAATTTGTACCTGTTCGGAAACGTGGAGCGTTTCCTATCTGTCGCTTAGAACGAGATTGTAGGATCGCTTTGCGAGTCTTACATTCCCGAAAATTGGATTTGTGGTTTTCACCACAATTTGAACATTTAAATTTCTTAGGATTTTCCTTCACATGACAGTCGTCCTTTGCGTGAGAGGAATCACCACAATTCATGCATTTAGCCGGTATGTAGCAATTTTTAGTTCCGTGACCCCATCCCTGGCACTTACGGCACTGGGTGAGCTTTTGGAAATTTCCTCCAATTTTCCTGAAGTGTTCCCACTTCACTTGGACATGGAGCATAAAGCTAGCTTTTTCTAAGGCCTTAAGGTTGGTCAGTTCACTAGACTTGAAGTGAACTAAATAAAAATCATTAGAAATCCGTTGCGCGAATCGCCAGGACGGGATTTCATTTTCATTTTGATTACTTGGAGTGGCACAACTCCAAGTAATTTTGCCAGTTCATCTTTGATCTGATCCAGGGATTCACCACTGGGCAGTCCTTTCAAGACAACCTTGAACACACGTTCAGTTTTGGTGTCGTAAGTAAAAAAATTGTGCTTCTTCTCAGTAAGATACTTGAGAAGACTTTTAAATCCGTCCATGGTTTCAGCCAATACATTCACCCCGACGTCCAATTTGTAGTGAAAACTTAACTTTCACGAAATTCAAAAGTTCCATGCGAAGAGCATGGAAATCGGAAGTGGTTATCACAATAGGGGGAATCTTTTCCTTCTTGGCATTAAGCCGGGAAAGTTTACTAGAATTTTTCTTGGATGATGGATCATTCTCATCATCCGTGAGCAAATCAAATTGATTGCTCAAATTAATTTCATCAGAAGGGGGATCAAGAGTTTGCCCCTTTCTTTTGCGTTTAGGCGCCATGGCGGCAGTAATTTTTTGCATCCAAATCGACTTCCAAGCAGATTACAGATTACTATAAGAATCTGAAGGATCGAAGAGGAATTTTCCAAATCGACATCCAAGAAGGATTACCTCGGGTATGGTCCAATCAAGGATCAAAGAGGAATAAGAGTTGAACAAGGTAGAAAATTTTTGCAGGTTGAGCACTGAAAAGTGCTGTTTAAATTTGTTGTAGCGTTAGGTAGTAGTAACACTTCCTTCAGCAAAAAGCAAATAGATCCGCACAGCAAGGAAGCACGATGCGGACTTAATCATCGAGTTGTAATTATTGCCATCTACTCATATTAACAAATAAAGCGATTGACGATTTTTTGAAACTCATCAACAGGTGTCCCCTCTCAAACAAAAAGATTTTTTTTTTTACAATGCATTGGTAATATATTTTTGTTTAACTTATGTATGTTGCCCGAAACTCAATCATAAATATACGTTTTCAAATTAATTATTCAATTCTGAAAAACATGATTTATGTGACACACACGTTTCGATAAAACCGATAGTGATATAAACAGAATGTAAAACAAAACGAACCGTAATAAAACCAAATCGCCACTGTTGTATATGAATAGCTGCTGATGTAAAACAAACGCTACGGTGCTGTCAAATGACCAACATAAGGGGGGTATGTCGAGGCGAAGAATTGCTTGTGAATATCGATTCTCATCCAGCAGATACAAAGTTTTACCACTCTATTAATTAAGTCCAGTGCTTACCGAATAAAAAGTTCGTCTTAGTATCCGTCTGTCCCGTCGATAGGGCCATCAAAATTAATAATCAGCTCAGTTCTCCTCTCATCAACGGTCCTTGCCGACAATAGCATCTTTCTTCTCCATGGCCCGGGAGGGACGAGATGGTTGAAAATGAAACCAGCAAACTTTTTTGATAACACCAATCGTGTGCCAATAAAGATTAAAGATGATCCAACGCGTCATCGGGCAGACACATCTTCGAACCAGCAGCGCCACCCTTATCGGAAGGGCGAAAAAGTTTGCCAAGGGAAGTGGGTGAAAACTTTGATCATTAAAAAAGTGTTACCCATTGCACTGCTGCAGCAGCACTTTATCTCTGTGTCTAACGAATTTGAGGAAGAGGTTATCCGAAGAGAGTCTCGTTTCAAGTAGCAATTCGAAGAAAATCCTTTTCTTCGTCTTTCTACACTGTTGTGTGGATGCGATTGGGAAAAGATTTACGCTGCTGGTGCAAACTTTTCGACGATTTGATGTTCTGCGATCGGAAGAGTGTCTTAAGCGAAGTTGGAAATGGATGACGTAGGACAATCTTTCAATCGAACGCTCGCCAAACTGTTTCAATCGATTACCGAAAATAGCTGAAGCTTTCCGAATCAAGCATCTCCCAAATTTGGGCAACAATCCGGCTGGGAGAGACTAATTCAGGAAGTTTACCCCACAAATGTGAGTTTCTCGTTTGAGTTCGTTCGTTCGTTCATTTTGTAATAACAATTTTCCAAGCATCCACTGATTACCCATTCACATTTTGACCGACTCAGTGCCACATTAAAACTAATTATCAAACTTTGTACAGAGAAAGAGAGAGAGCGTCACGACACACTAACATCTGGTCGAGGGTATGCACATTGAATTTAAATAGCTCTCGTAACTTGCAACAGAAAACTGCAATTGTAGTGGTGTTTAATTTCCCATCCCATTCCTTTCTGCACCGCAACAGCATGCCATGCACGCAAACCGAAACCGACCGCTTCCAGCTCAAATCGACATTTTTTTTTCTCGAACTGATCCCTTTCGATCCGAAGGGATTCCAAGCCCAGCAGTTGCCGATTTGCGCTGGAAACCGTCGCTAGAAAAACAGAAAAAATAGTTCACTTCCCCACCCATCTAGAACTGGTTTCGAACTACAATTAAATGAACAATTCTCTCATCCAACCGTTTTTCCGAAACTTTCTCTCCGTTCGAACTAAAATCCTCCATGTACAAAAACTCAACCCACCCACATAATACCCCCAACACCATCTTTCCGAGAAGCGGAATTTCCGGTTTTGATAATTCTGGACGTGGTTATTATTTTGCAAGTCGTCCATCCTCATCATCGTCATCTGCACCCGCATCCGGTCAGCAGCAACACCCCTCGGCACCATCATCCCACCCTTCATCCTCGTCATCATCGCACCACTACCAGCAACCCGCGGCCCCCGCTGGCCATGGAGCGCCGACGGGTCCGGCTGGAACGTACTCCAGTGCAGCAATTGGATTCCACCACCAGAGCAGTGGACCGGATCGGCCAGATAGTCGACCGTGCTGTGCGGAGTGCTGCGGAAAGGGTGGCGATCACAGCCGGTATCCACAGTCCGGGCCAACCGGAACCGGTCCCGGGTATCATCAGTCTCAGCCCCATCATCCCCAGCAGCAGCAGCATCAGCAGCAGCAGCAGTACGGTGGTGAACGACCCGACGCCCATGGCCGACCGGGTGCGTGGAATTATCTGAGCGGGGGTAGCGCCGGAGGACAGGACTACCATCAGGGTGCGTCGGCGGCGGGAAGTGCCTCGCATTCGCAACCGGGGCAGGATTATGGGAACCGTGGGGGCTACCAGCAGCAGCAGCACCAGCAGCACCAGCAGCAGCAGAGGCCCGAAGTGAGCGGAGGCGATCGACAGCAAAAGTAAGTACCTAGCTATTTTAGGTGTTGGGTTTGATTGAATGCGATCGTTTGGGTGCGATGGCAATGTATTGGAGTTTCTTGCTAGTGGAGCAGTGGATTGATATATGCAAAATAGAACTTCTACGTAATCAATTTCTCCCTCAGATTGTATAGGTATTTGAAATTCTGACCACACCATGACCACTTAATTAGGGGAAAAGACGGCTTCGGCATGACAGACTATTTTCGGCAACCCAAATTGAAACACTATTTTCACTGGATTTTCTTACGAAAACACTTCGCTGAATGCATGCAAACGATTCTTTATGCTTTCAGCTTCAATTTGACTATATTTTTACCACGGAGAAAAAGCAATCTATCAGGGTTTTCTTGAAATGAAACACACGCACTACAAATTGTAGCTGATTTCGAGTTGCCGATAATAGAATGGCAGATTTACATGCAGTTCAAATGGAACGGTTGCCGAAGAAAAACTGGTTGCCGACAATACTCGCTCCTTCTAGAGAAGATTGGAGCTTTGTAAAAGCGTTTCAAAACAGTTTTCGACAATTCTTTCGACTGAAATTGTTAGAGCAGCTGGCAGCAAAAGATTGTAAACAAACCAATACTGCATACGTGTGCGTTCCTTAGAGAAAAACGCTATAGAAAGAAGGTCGCTGCTTTGGTTGCCGAGAATACGTAAATTCCCCTATATGAATTCGATGCAAATAAAATCGAATTGAACTTAAGTTTAATTTGATTAAATGTCTGACAAAATTGAAGTAGACTACAGTCGTCGTAGAAGTCTTACAGGAAGAAACAGGAGGTAAATTGAAAATCAAAAATTGCGACCGTCTCGATAAGGTGTTAGGCTTTGAACGCTTATAACTTTGGCGTTTATAGTTGAAATTAAAATTCAAAAGCACCAATCGATAGGAAATAGCTCTACAAATCTGCTAAATGAACACTTTTCCAATTTTCAATAAAAAAACTTTTGAAAAATGTTAACCTATAGAGCGATAATTTTATTCCTGTTTTCATGAAATAAATGTTTTTTGGAGCGTTTTCCCTAACCCAGTCGTCATAATCGAGTACCACTTGGTTGTGAATTTATCTTCTTGAACCTGTAAAGTTTTGAAACAGCACTGTTCATTCAGATATTTTCAGATTTTTCTTCAATATTTGTTTAAACACTATACTGACGTATAATGGCCAAATGGACAAAATGGTTATGAACACCCGGGTTTTTGATCTCTTATATTGAAATTTAAACTTGGAAGTGCCATTTTTGTTTGGCAAATTATCACGCTTCAACTTATTATATAAATTATTTTAATTTTAACTTATATAATTAAATTATTTTAATTTTGGCTATCTATCTATAACAAGTTGTTCAATATCATGCAACTTGCTGATAACCTTGTGAGACACGTATCCTTTAATATTCGTTGTAGAATTTTGCACCAGTCTTGTATGTAACTCAAAATTTTCTTCCTTGACCAGATGTAATGTTGAACTAACATCGTATGATTACGTAAATAACGGCTGTCGTACAATTGTTGAATTAAAAAATAATTACTTAGTGGAGCAGATATAAGTCAAAAACTTTAAGAAAACGGTGAAATTTTGTTCATATAAAACTCTTTTCTCAAAACATTGAGAAAAAAATCTCACAATATTGATCCATTAGAATGGAACAAAGTTCGAGTTTTAGGAACGATAATTTTAAGCTGCTCGAATAATGAGATTCTTTCGCGATTTATCTATGTTAAAACATATTTGTTAAACAGGAAAAAGCGTTGTTTTTTTTTTAGCAAGCAACTCTCTCCTTATTTAAAATTATTATATTGTTAGATGAAATTAGACTAATATTTTTCACCTTAAAACGCTAAAGACTGCTAGTTATGAAAGAAGATTTTGCTTAGTTCTAGATAGAGCTGGAATTAGGGCGTAACAGCTGTTGATGATTTCTAGAAAATTGAGGCTTACCAACACAAATCAACAACACCATCGGGTAGGGGAAGACTTTCCCTACCCGACGGTTATATTGGTTTGCGTTGGCGTGCCTTGAGTTCCTAGAAATCCGCGGTAGAAGTCATTGTTTACAAAGGCTGTTACGCCCTAATTCCAGCTCTATCTAGAGTTATTATGAAAACCATGTTTCCGAATTGAAAATTCATCTGGATGTTTGAAAATTTGGCTTAAAAAGCCGTCTGCATTTCTTTGTTAAGATTCAATTTGATGATTGGACTGAATCGAGTTTGTTTCATTCGTTATATCAAATATCAGATCAAAGAGTCCTCAACAAGTTTAAGGAAAAGGATTTACAAATGTTCACAACAGGTGCAGCAAAACATCACATAGACACCTTTATTCGCACTGTCTAGTCAGGGATACAAGGACAAGAAGAGCTACCGCAGCCATCTGAAGCTTGAATCGGGTACCTGGGTAATCCACAATATCCACGGCAGCAGCTATCAAACGAGTCTTGTCGTATTTGTCGGATGGACCTCGAAAAATGTTGAGCCGGATGGCTCAAATTGTCCCAAAGGAGGTTTATGAAAATGGTTGATCGATTGTCCTCTAGCCCTAGTCTATGTGGCTTATGGTTATAGCACCATTAGTCGCTTCCTGAAAAGAGATGAACGAAGAAGAAAAAGGAACATTGATAAGGAAAAAGGAACCCTAGTTCTAGCTCCTGTATGACAACTGAGAAAACCGTTGTCTAGTTTCAATCAACAATAAGAGGCTAGAACCAGAGCTAAGCTGATCTTAAACCATCGTAACGCACCTTAGAGAGGTGATCTACCAGTGTAATGGGTTATAACACATTTTATAGTTTATAAATATAAATGTGAGTGTATTTGAAGCATACAATAGAGTATATATACGTAAAAATCAATGACATATAAATAATTAAATAAAGATAAAAAGAACGATCTCACCGAGTCTCAAAGTGAAGCTGTAGCAAGCTGCCAAGCAATTTTCCAGCGCACAGTCCGTATCGTGTGCTCTTTCCGTGCGGATCTATTTCATTCTTTCTCAAGGAAGCAGTTCAGATCTTCCATAGAAAAACTTTTCTTCAGTAGCCTTTCGCATTTAGAAGCTTGGAGCTGAAATCAGATTGGATTTTTTAAATTAATTGGGTTAGTGCTACAATTTTAAACTCCTAAAGTTTGAGTTTCTTCCTTTCCTCCTGCAAGCAATCGGTCCAGCAAGTACCACCTTAGCTCAGTCGGTAAAGGTGCAGTTACAAAGCAAGTCCATGCTGGCGGTGGCTGGGTTCGATTCCCAGTCCGGTCGAGGAATTTTTCGGGTTGGAAAATTTCTAAACTTCCCTGGGCATAGACTATGATGGTACTTGTCACACAATTATACTAATGCAAAAATGGTACAGGAATCGAAAGCTCTCAATTAATAACTGTGGAAATGCATTTAAAGTTGAGAGCACGCAATATACGATAAGCTTGAAATGCAAAGAAGAAGAAGAATAATAAGAAGAAGAACCACTGGCTCCCAAATACAAAAATTAAATTTTGTAAACTAGAAACGCTCAACGTGGATGCTAATCAAACAGCTTTCAAATATCGATGCGTCCTTCAGTTAGTGTTAGGGGCTGTTCATAAACTACGTAGACAGTTTAAGGGAGGATTGGCAATCATCCACGGCCCTTACATATTTAATTTTTTATGGACAATTGTCTACGCAGGGGTAGGGGGTGGGGTCAAGAATCCCAAGAAAACTGTCTACATAGCTAATGAACAGCCCTATATGACAATTTTAGGATTTTTCAATTTAAACTGTGATCAAATGTAACTTCAACTAGGATAGCTAGCAACAAATTGAACCGATTCTTACGAATAGTGACTTTCTTCTGTCCTATTGTTTTATCTAACGTTGTCAACTTGATAGACGTCACGACCGAAGTATAGTTGTTGGCGATCCCTCCGTTTGTTTTGTTACAGCTGCTCAGTGGCATTGTACGCAACAGAAGTGTTACTGCTACTTAAAGCAACCACAAATTTAAACCGCACTTTTCTGTGGTGAATATTACCTGCAAATATTCTTTACTCTTATTCCTCTTCGATCCTTGTTTGGACCCTACCCGCGGTAATCCTGCTTGAACTTCAACTTGGAAAATTCCTCTTTGATCCTTTGGATTCTTATAGTAGTCTGCTTGGAGGTCAATTTGGAGCAACTTGGTTCTGCCACCATGGCGCCTAAGCGCAAAAGAAAAGGGTAATCGGTTGATCTTTGATCTGATGAATTTAATTTGAGCAATCAATTTGATTTTCTCACGGATGATGAGAATGATCCATCATCCAGACAAAATTCCACTTAATTTTTCTGGCTTAATGCCAAGAAGAAAAAGGTCCCCCCAATTGTGGTAACCACTTCCAATTTCCATGCTCTTCGCACGAAACTTTTGAACTTCGCTGAAACCTTGGACGGATTGAAACCTCTTCTAAACCTCCCAAGTATCTTACAGAGAAGCAAATTTTTTCACTTGCGACACCAAATTGAACGTCTGTTCAGGTTGTCTTGAAAGGTCTGCCCAGTGGTGAATCCCTGGATCAGATCAAAGATGAATTGACAAAGTTGCTTGGAGTTGACCCAATCCAAGTAATCAAAATGAAAATGAAATCCCGTCCTGGCAATTCGCACAACGGGATTTCTAATGATTTTTATTTAGTTCACTTTAAGTCTGGTTCGGAGATGAACTAGCCAAAGGCTTAAAATTTCTTTTATGATGAATATAAAAGAAATCAAGTCTGGTGAACTAAACAACCTTTAAGACTTACGTTTCATGTCCAAGTGAAGTGAGAACAATTCAAAAAGACCAGATTTTTTTTTTCAAAATCTCACCCAGTGCGGTAAGTGCCAGGGATCGGGTCTACTTGAACAATAAATCAAAAATATGCTTGCACCAAAGTTGGATTGTTAGGAATTATTCCAAAGCCCTTCAATTGATCAAATAACTGCAAATATTTAAGGGCAGTTTGGAAATTCTTCTGATTATT